CAAATAGGAAATGGTTATATTGAAAATGGTTGAATCTAGGGATAAGGTTAATAAAATACAAGCAACAAAAGGACCACCTACCTAACGAAGACCCCATTGAATCTAACGCTACTGAGTGTATTCCTCCACCGGAATCTGGTAGGGAATACAATACTGCTGAGGAGGCAAAACTTGCTGCTGAATTACACGCCCAACAATATGGATATGCAGTTGTTATTCAAAGGAGAAATAAGGATTCAAAAGGAGTTGAATATGCATTATATCTCTGCTGTGACCGAGGTGGAAAGCGCCCTTCCCAATCTAATGGTATTCGAGAGGCCAAATCCCGACGGATTGGATGTCCTTTCAGCATTCGAATTGGATATTCAAAGCTTACAACCAAATGGACTTTAGTAGTCCGAAACAAAAACCATAACCATGCATCTTCTCCTTCTAGTACCCATCCAACATACCGGAGGAAGGAGATGACTTGGAAGGAAAATCGAATTAAGCCATTAATAAATCAAGGAATATCAAATACTCCGAATACTCCATGATGAGGATAAGAGTTCTCTTATTCAACGGCAGGATATTTACAACCTTCGGCAAGCAATATTCCGCAAATTTCTCCAGGGAAGAAGCCCAATTCAGGCCCTTATTACACTACTGCCCGATGAAGGGCCCTGGATAATGCAATATTGCACTGAAAATGGGCAGATATCTGCACTTTTTTTTTTTCACACACAAAGTCTGCCTTGAGCGATTACAGTTAAATCCATATATTCTTTGTATGGATTGTACATATAAATCCAATCGTTTTAGGATGCCTCTTCTTAATATTATAGGTATATCCTCAACAGGAATGACATTCTATGTTGCTTTTGGTTTTATGTGTGATGAAAAGGAGACACATATTCCTTTATTCTATCTTGTCTGCGGTCCTGCTATCGAGTTCTACGGCTTCCTCTTCCATCTGTAATTGTGACAGATAAAGAAAAGGCACTTTTTCAATCAATTGGAGAGTTATTTCCGGAATCAGCAGCTCTTCTCTGTATCTGGCATATGAATAAGAACATTGTGGCTAAAGCAAAGCCTTTAATCTCCCGGATTATTGTACAAAAAAGATCCCAAGAAGAGGAATGACGAAATTGATACAATAGCTGGAGATCTTCTAGCAAATTGGATGGAGATCGTCAATGCAGGAACTATAGAAGAGAAGGATAAAAAATGGGACTTATTCAAGCAAAAATATGCCCATTTTCCAGAACTAATACAGTATTTGGAGTGGGAATGGCTTCAATTTATAACTGCAAAACGCTATCTTAGCTGCTACACCAATAACTGCTTCCATGGTGGGACTACAGTCACATCCCGGAATGAAGGCGCCCATTTCAGTATTAAAAGTGACCTGGATAGCTCTACAGGCGATCTTTTAACTGTTGTGCGATCTATTGGACGTACAGTTACAGATAGAGATACCCAGATTACACAGCAGGTTGCTAATGACAAGGTAAAATGGCCGGTGTCTTTGGAAGGGTTATTGTACCGGGATATACGGTATAAAATATCACACTATGCCCTTCTAAAAGTTCATAATATTTACAAGAAATATTTGCCAGCAGGACCTGGAAAGCTGCAAATCAGATCCTGCACAGGAGTGGTAAACAAAACACTAGGGATTCCTTGCATTCATACAATACAGGTATATGCAGAGACCTCACGATCGCTTTCTATGGATCATTTTCATCGTCAGTGGTGGATTGAAGGCCGTCAAATAAAACCACTAGATCCCCGCCTTCTAGTCCTGGAACCAGCAATTATACGGCCTCGTGGTCGTCAAAATAGGGAGCACCCAGGACGACAGCTGTCATATTGGGAGCAAGTTGACCGTGCAGTCCGCATAGCTCAGTATGGCCAAACTATTCGAGAGGGTGAGGCAGCAAAGGCAGCTTCGGTAAACCAGGGAGGTGGTCAAATAGTATATAAAGCATCAAACAAGACATTGCTTCAGACATCGAACGAGGCATCGAATCAGGTATCTGACGAGGCATTAAATAAGACACCGAACGAGGCATCGAATAAAACATCAAACAAGGCCTCAAGGCAAGAAATACCCCCCAACGATGCCATGTTCATGCCTCAAGCGATGCCCCAAGCGATGCCTCAAGACGGGGTAAGGAAGAGAGAGACCAGGGAGCTAACATGGGTGTCAGTGGAATTTTAATCTCTGAATTTCAATTGGCTAGTCAAACCTGGTTTAAAGATGTTGCATTTAATATCTAATAGTCCCTTCTTTTTTAATCGCAATGCTCATGGCCTATTTTGTATGGGAAACTATTAAAAAGGCAAAATACTAAGGTTTTGGTCACATGATATTACTATATTAGGAATAGGGCGACATGTGTAAATAAGCGACTCCTATTTAGGTTTAGTGACATGTGCAAATATTGAGCTATGGTGTGCAAATAACAACGCCCCCGAATATGGTAGGTCCCTAACAAATCTTGGGGCGTTGTTAAATACACAGGCAAAACTCCTAGTTTCACAGGTGACTATACCTAATTGGGAAGTGCTTAGTAACACAGGCTTGACTAAAGTAGTTGGACACCGAGCGGCGCAAGACACCGAGCGGCGCGCCGCTCACCGCTCTTCCTGGAAATATTCAAACATCTCAGTATTCGAAGCCTTTTTATCTTGATTTTCATCAGTATTTTATTAATATACCAAAATGAGTGCCATATCAATGGATGAGAGAATGAAAATGGCTGTTGATGCATGGAATAATAACCAATTTTCATCCAGAACTGCCTGTGCCAAGGCATTTGATGTCTCTTCAAGAACTCTTCTTTATCGACTTAAAGGAAGAAGCAACCGCAATAATATTATTGCTAATAGCCGGAAATTGTCCAATCTTGAAGAGGATACATTAAAAAGATGGATTATTGATATGGCTAACCGTGGTCTGCCTCAACGGATCTCCCAAATTCAATATCTTGCTGGTCTTTTAATATCTGCACGTCAAAAGACTTCGTTGTTATCCCCGGCCTCTATCCCTGATCTAGTCAGTAGTAAATAGGTTACTCGATTTATTTCCCGCCATGATGATATTAAGTCAAGATATAATTGTCGATATGACTACCAGCGGGCGAAGTGTGAAGACGAGTCCACAGGTTATTAAGGCTGTTTAATTGGTTCAAAATACCATACAAAAATATGGCATTTTAGAACAAGATATCTACAACATGGACGAAACTGGCTTCCAAATGGGTGTAACATCAACAGCCAAAGTTGTCTGCGGCGCAGAAACACGCAGATCTGATGCTAAATCAATCCAACCAGGTAATAGAGAATGGGTTACATCAATTGTAACTGTTGGAGGAAGTGGCTGGGTTTTGCCCCCACAGATTATTTTTGCTGGAAAAAAACATCATCTCAGTGGTATTCCGTTCTACCTAAAGATTATCGATTAAGTCTTAGCGAGAATGGCTGGACTAATAATAACCTGGGACTGGAATGGCTACAAGAAGTCTTCGACAAGCATACAAAACCCCGCACCGTTGGTCAATACCGACTGCTTATTTTGGATGGCCATGGGAGCCATGCAACTGCTGAATTTGATGTACTGCATGGAACATTTAATTTTCACTTTATATGCCTCCTCATCATCTCACCTTCTTCAACCGCTTGATGTTAGCTGTTTTGCACCTTTAAGCGCTTTTATGGCAAAAAGTGCAAGAAATGATGAATATTGGTATAAAAACTATTATAAGGTAGATTTTCTATCTATCTATTCATCGGTCCACTTAAAAGCAATGTCATCACAAATATATAAGTGGATTAAAGCACCGGCCTTTTCCTCTATTCTTCAACAGTGATATCAAAGTTAAAAATAAGTAAAACACCAACTCCACCATCTTCTTCGCAGTAATCAGTCATTTTATTGGGAAAAACCCTATAATTTACCAGTTAAACCGACAAAAAGAGCAACTTCTGAGATTCAAAACCAAGGCATTTTTCCATCGATTGCTGATACTTTGCTCGATAAAGCTATGAAAGGCAATGAGATTGCTATGCAGCAAATGGCTTTATTAAAAAACGCACTTGATCAACGCCAGGCAGCTGATAATTACCAAGAAAACAAAAAAGAAGTGCCTAGGCAGTTTATTCAAGATACAGGCAGTCTAACCACTGATAAGGCACTACAAATAATGCAGGAAAGGGAGAAGGCAATTCCGGCAGAGGCTCACGCACCAAGGATACAGAGGCCCCCTACATGTAGTAATTGCAATATTCAGGGCCATAATCGATTAAAATGTCCGACTAGATAGCTCTATACTTATTTTTTAACAATATACTTCATTTGTATGGAGATAAATGACTTCCAATATTATCTAAATTAGGGAGGCGGGAAGGAGCGGTGAGCAGCTGCTAACTCGGTGTCGTTGCAATTTCGGTGTCCGATTACGTTAATCAAACCTGTGTCACTAAGCACTTCCCAATTAGGTATAGTCACCTGTGAAACTAGGAGTTTTGCCTGTGTATTTAATAACGCCCTAAGATTTGTTAGGGACCTATCATATTCGGTATGGTCATGTGGCCTTACTTAGTCACCCACCTAGATAACTAGTCAGCTCGCCCGAGCTCCTGAATTGAAGAGAATTGTGCCTCGCGAACAAGATTCGGGCGTCAGGTGACTCGGTCCGTAGTTAACCAAGTTCCGCATGTTCAATCAAAGAGGCATATTTATCCGACAGCATGTATGTACGTCTCTTTTGGACCAATAACGACGAAAATATGCATTTCTTCTGATTTCTCGCAGCGATACAGCCACCCTCGGTGGAAGGCATAACTTAACTACTTAGTTTCTTTCTCGGAAAATTCCTTGAGTACATTAATTTGCAGTCTTTAAGCGACACTACACCAAGATTTCTGTATGACAAGTTGCGGCGGTCACAATTAAATAAGGCATATCGCAAACACTGTTCTCACAATCAGGCGAGATTTATGCCCCTGACTGAAATTTACAAATCTGTTCTCGCCTCCTCCCCAGCCCACGCTCTCCTCAGGAGTTCCCTGATTGGCCTCTTTACAATCACCCTCGGACTCCAATACGGATTCTCCACCGCAATCTCGGCAGCCTTATCCAAATCCTCCTCCTTAAACCCAAAGCTCTTCAAACCCCTCTTAACCTTCAGCCGCTCTAACAGTGCGTTTAACCCCTTTATCGCGTCGCCACCACTGCCTGGCAATACATCTGCTAACCTCTTCATAACTTCAGGTATAGCAGGGGCATTGTAGGCTAACGCATGAGGTAGGATGATTGTGTGTGTTTCCGCGTGCGGCATGTTGAAGAAGCCACCGAGGGTGTGGCATAGTTTGTGGTGGAAAGACATCTCGGCTGTGCCTAAGCAGGTGCCGCACAACCAGGCACCGAAGAAGGCGGATTGGCGGGATGTAATGTCCGAAGGTGATTCGACGATCTTGGGCAGTGAGGCTGCCAAAGTTTTTATACCTTCGATAGCTAGCAGGGAAATGATGGGGTTGGTGTTACGGGCGTAGAGAGCTTCGACTGAAGGGGCGTCGTTGTTAGCACGGGAAAATATCGACGCACAAAGAGACAGGAGGCGTACCTGAATGCGCAATTGCGTTGACACCGCTTGTAGCACTCATACCCGCAGGAAGAGTCATTGTGAGATCAACGTCATAGATGACTGCCCCAGGTAAAATCTTAGGATCGCTCCTCGTAATCTTCTGCCCACCCTCTGTCTCCCCAAGAATAGGCGTCATTTCCGAACCTGCATATGTCGTTGGGATACAGATATGTAGTAGTCCCGTCCTTATGGATATCGCCTTCCCAAGCCCAATTGTGCTCCCCCCTCCAATTGAGATGACTGAGTCGGCGTTTACGGATTTCGTGTACGCCAGAGCTTTCTCTGTGATGGTGTAGGGGGTGTGCATTGTTGCTTCAGTGAAGACACCTGCGACTTTGCCATCGAGGAGATCTTTAAGCTGAGATGCTTGATCGACTTGTTGTGGTGTCGATACGATGAGGGGGGCCTTCACTCTGTGTCGTGCTACTTCCTCTGAGAGTCGGGAGAGGGTACCGCTGCCGAAGATGACTCGGGCTGGGGATGCGTTGTATTCGAATGCTTCCATTATGCGAACCTGTAATCTACAGTCTGGGTACTTATTGAAAGATTGGGTACTGTAAAATTGTCAGTGAATTAAGAAGTTTCCCTCATTTCAATGAGAGTGCGGAAGTGACGTTGAATACCCCTAGTAATCCGCAAGCTCCGCAAAGGAGCTGATGAATCTTTTACCGGCAGGGATAATACTATAGCGAGATGTATTCATCCGGAGAATGGTTTTCGTTGTGCCACTTTGTGTATGGCATTGCGATTGGTCAATGCTTCGGATAATTCAAGTAGGAGTCTGGCACGTGTTCAAGGCTGAGTATCTGCATTCAGGGGTCAATCATAGTATCAATCGTGGCCATACATAAACGTTATAAAAGATCTTGCCATTGTCCTTCCTCCTTATAATTTATTTGGAACTGCACCTCAATTGAGCTATGTAGCCAAGTTTCGAGCTTTTGAGTGAACTCTTTGTCAACCCTGCCGTACATCGCATCAAGTTCTCTCCTATATGATCCCGTCCAATTCCTCCCATAGTACTAACAAGATCCAATTGTGCACCATGAACCCCTCAATAATCAAAGTTCCTCCGCTGAAGGACTTGAACATCAATAACATCACCGAAAACACCGTCTTAATAAACTCCCGAAGCGGCGATGCGCGGCTGACGTACCTTATGGAGTGCTTAGTTACGCACCTGCATGACTTCGCACGTGAGACGCGATTAAGTACGGGTGAATGGATGGCAGCACTCAATTTCCTTGTTAAGGTTGGGCAAATATCTAGTGATGTGCGACATGTACGTTTGCTTTTTCATTTTACGTTTCCTTGAAGGGAGCGGGAAAGAACTGTTGACAAACCCCACTTTCCAGGAATTTATCCTTCTCTCAGACATACTCGGCCTCTCCCTCCTCGTCGATTCAATCAACCATCCCAAACCCCCCGCATCCACCGAAGGCAGCGTGCTCGGGCCTTTCCACACTCATGAAGCAGACACCATTTCCAACGGCCAAGGCATGTCGTCCGACACCCAAGGAGAGCCTTGTCTCGTCGTTTGTACCGTTCATGACGTCTCCGGAAGCCCCATCCCAGGCGTCAAGATTGATATCTGGGAAACTGATTCTACGGGACATTACGATGTGCAATACAATGAGAGGGGTGGGCCTGATGGCAGGTGCGTAATGTACAGTGATAAAGAGGGCGTGTTTTGGTTCAAGGCCATTGTGCCAGTGCCATACCCGATTCCGCATGATGGTCCTGTGGGACAGTTACTTAAGTTGTTAAAAAGACATCCGTGGAGGCCAGCTCATATGCATTTTATATTTGAGAAGCCCGGCTGGGATCGTTTGATTACGTATGTACCTCTATTTTCCTTCCCCTTCCCTCCCTCTGCACAATCCTATTTCGCGACACTAACGCGTTAGTTCATGGTCAGAGCGCTCTACATTCGTGGCGACCCATACGAGAGCTCTGATGCGGTTTTTGGCGTCAAACAATCGCTCATCGTAGATTTTGACACCGTCGATACAGCAACAGCCAAACAATACGGTGTTACCAAAGGAATCAAGGTGCTCAGGCATGATTTCGTGCTGGTGAGTGACAAAGAGGCGGAGAAATTGCGGGATGAGAATGCGTTGGCTGAGATAAAGAAACTTGGCAAGAGAGTGAAGATGTTGAACCATTTGCCGGTACCAGATGTGGATTAGTGTTCTAAGTTCCTTTGTAGTAAATGGTAATAAAACCGAAATAATGGTACGTACGCGGCGCCATAGCTTACGTTACACTGTGCGTAAGTTTACTCATGCTCCTTGTGGTAACAGAACACAGTCTGTAGCCCCAGGCTCGTCCTTCAAATGCAAATCCTGTTTCAGTTTCCTCCAAGATTCATAGCCTCGGCGAGCAAGCTCGCGTGGTACCGCGGGGTCAACTCTTGCCATAGTCCTCGAAAAAAGCTCCAATGACACCCAGCCTTCAAAGCCTAGGTCCCCGAAGATTACCCTTGCAACATCCAGTATGGGCAAATAACCTCCTTCTTCATACGCGAAGAGCCTTGCATTCCGTGACCATCCCATCCTAGCCGACTGTCCTTTAATGTAAAAAGGATGAGCCGGCGTAATGGGGTCGCGCAATCTCTCTCCGTCCACAATTTGGACATAAAAGACCCTCTTCACATCTATCTGTTGCTTCATGCGCTCGATTGATGCTTGCATATCCCTCTCCGCATTAAGTGTCTTGCCCGACTCTACAGCCGGATCTCCGTACACCCTGGCGCAGATGTTGAACGTATCCAGGCAAATGCCGAAGTTCGGTCGATCGACCTTTTGCACCACGTCCCACGCCATTTCCCAGGTGTCGACGTATGTAGCGAAGGATATGTTCTCGTATACGAACCTCACACTTGGCGTCTCTCGCAGACCCAACTCCGCAACTTCGACCATGTCTGCAACTATGACATCGAGGTCACCAGTTATGTCTTTGGTCATAAAATTTGCTGGGATCTGAATCATGTCCGTGCCCAGTATCTTGATGATCTGGAACCATAGCTTCAACTTTTCGATCCGTTTTCGGTGTTCCACGGGATCAAGGAGTCCTTCATAGGACAAGAATGGCTGCAGGCAGACTACTGTGAGATTGTTTTGGTCGCAAAGATGGCGAGCGGTTCGCGCGGCAAGGAGCAGACCCTCTGGTGAGGCGTCGCTGCCGTGGGAGAGGTCCCTCGCCAGGTACTCGAGGTCTTCGTAGAATATTTCCACTCCTTTGAACCCGTGAATGCTTGCTTGTTTGAGCTTTTCCGGAAGCTGGTGCGCCCAAGCTCTTCCTAGAGACATGCTGGATATTGCCAGTTTTTGAACCATCTTGAAAATAATAATAAGAGTGACGCTGTGCTTGTCTATGTACTTCTCTCGATCTTATAGATTCCAAAATTAGGGAGTCTGGCGTGCTGAAGTTAAGGTTTGATGTTGAAAACGAGAAGTGACATCAACTGTAAGGTACGTTACACGGTTATAGGGCGCTGAGATGATGCGTCCCAATGGATGTTGGCAGAATGTACTCTCTTACAAAATCACATTGTAGTCATGATTCCTGTTGCAGCGGGTAAATGAGTGCGGTTCCCGTGACGTTCAAATACTCTAACGGGTGACCTGTAGCCGGCAATACATTTAAGCGGTAGCAGAAGCTGCACACCCGTCAGAAGTTCGGTAGATTGTTAAGCACCACTAAAAGTTTTGCATTCACGCCGACTCCATAGTGGCCATACCGGCTAAATTCTCCTTAGCCACTGGCCACGCATATGATACAGTAGCGCACGTTTTATGCATAGTCACTTTTGACTTTTCGACACATATATTTTGAAGCCTTAACACCCCTATTATTGAGAAGCTTTTTGTGAAACAATAATCTACAGTAATGGTCGACCTCCATAGTTTACCGTCCGGCTCGTGGCCGAGCCAAGCAATTCGCAATAATGGTTCTGACAGCTTGGCTTTGGAAAGGTACAAGCTTAGAGAGCTAGCAGAAGGCTGGCCATGCTATAGGTGAGTCCATAGATAGGGAAACCTTCCAGCAAATTTGGCAGAATACCTTAACTGACATTATATCACTTTTCTAGAGATGCATGTGAATGGGAAAACATGATGTCGATTTTCCATGACGATGCCCATATATACACAACGTGGACCGGACGAACTCATTACAAGGATTTCATTGCAGCATCGCAGCAGGGAATGGATAATGGAGCTTTCATCATGCATCGATGCCATGGAAGCACAACTGGTAAGTGATACGAAGTGATTCTTTCCCATTCCGCCCAGTCTCACGAGACAGAATATTGTCCCTCGAATAAGTCTTCCAACTCAATGGATCACATTCCACAGTCGCTAAACAGCAAGCGTGTTAACTCCGCAAACGTCTAGATATCAATGCCGAAGCAACTCGCGCAGTTACAAAGATGAAGACCACTATAACACAGCGATTCCAGATTGACGGTTGTGAGGTTGACGCTGATGCTGACTGTCGGTTCTGTTTCTTTTGGGAAAAGGCAGGTGGAAGATGGGGAGCTCGATTCGTCAAGCACTGGTATGAGAAGGACAAACTGATTCCGGTGGACCCGAGGATGATTCCAACTTTAGACGATGAAAAGTTGAAGGAGTACCCTACCGGGTACAGGTACTTAGCATACTGTCAAGAAATTACCATGGGCGTGAAAGTGATGCTGGACATGCCCAGTCATCGCAGAGATGGTGATAACCTGAATGGACAGAAACACGATGCGCTATATTGGCAATGTAAAGACTGGGTCGAGGGACGAAATGTAGATATTTGAAGATCAGTGAATCCTAATTAAATGAAATAATCATACTACCTACGCCCTCTGTAGTCCAAGCTTTACATTAAATAGAGAAAGCCTCTGAAATTGTTACGTTATGAGGGTGTCATAGTTAGCTGTAATTTTATAATGCAACGCACAGACAAGTCTATTGCTTATGAATTCGCTGTCCTTCCAGAGGGATTCATGTGAATCATGCCATTTATTTTTGTTAGAGTAGGCGTAATTAATTAGGGTAACTGGCCAGCTTCCGAACTTCCGATATCTATGATTTCATGATATCCAATAATTACACCGAGTCTGCTTGTTCAATCAACAAAGGAGCGAGATTGAGCTGAACTAAGTACACTTAGATACTGCTGCTGCCTTTCAGGCAGCAGCTGTTGCCTACTGATATTGCTTGATTGCTATGAGTCAGCGACTTAATCTTGACATAATTATTAACGTTAAGGGGCACGGGGCTTATTCAGCCAGAAGCGTGCTTGGAAACCAACAAGTTGATTGTATTGCAGAGAAGAGGAACTAGAAGTTCTCGAGGACCTGGCTACCTAGTTACATAGTTGATGCTCAGGGGCCGTGGTAGAGATTGGCCTCATTTGGTGGCATTATTAGCATCTTCATCAGCCGAGTGCACGTCAACGGCTCAGCCCTTTACACGCATTACGCGACACTATTACGCTAATCCCTCGATTAGGATGTCAGTACGTCGACAAGTGGTCCGGGACTCCACGCGACGCCGTCCACTCTCAGCATGGGTACTCTAACGCCAACAGTTTGACCCAGAACAAAGAAAACAGGGCCTCTCTGAAACTTGAGAACACAATGTGAACCTTAAAGAAATTTCGAGGGTTAACGCTCGCGCACAAAAATGGAGAAATGCCTTTCAAATCAGGATTGCGCCGCCTATCTTAGGGTTCGCAGCTGTTAGCCTGATACGAACGTTCTATTCTTGCTCGCAGTGAATGAGAGGGAAATGGTAGAACTCCGAAGGCGTATGTCAAGGAGACACTCTTAGACAGCTCAAGAAGTTGTGGTCCCTGAGCCCACAAGTTCCTGCAGGAGAGAAGGCAACATTCCCCTTACGCAGGTGCGCTCCGTGGTCTGTAAGAAGGTCGTTGATTGTGTTACCTCTTCGAACGAGGACTTAAGATAATAGTTATCCATACAAATGTCACGTGCCAGTTCCCCCAGTTCCTCCACTACAGCAGATATAGAAAAAGATGATTGTGGTCGCACTCGTGTAAGATCTATGCTACTTCCTGCCTAATAAAGACTGATTTCTCTTCTAACCACGACTGGATTGCGTTGGAACCCTTCTGACGGCCGATTCCAGATGCCTTAAAGCCGCCAAAAGGAAGGTCGTACGCCCCGTAAGGCGAGGTACAGTTGACACCGACGTTGCCGGCCTCCAGAGCGCTAGCAACGCGAAGGGCTGTATTTATATTGGAGCTGTAGACCGATGAATACAGTCCGTCTGAATGGGTACGGAAAGTTAGCTCAGAGACAATTGGGAATAATATTTAGTTTCATGACTCACATTCAGTATCATTGGCACGCTTAATGACTTCCACCTCGGTCTCGAACTCGTGGAGTACCAAGACGGGCCCGAATATTTCCTCGACGTTGAGCCTGCTCGTATCTGCGACATCCGTAAATATTGTAGGCTGGACAAAGTTAACGCCACAGTCGACTTGTCCGCCACCATGGAGAACATGTCCACTTTGCTTTCCAATGGCAATATAATTCTTGACAGAAGCTGCCTGTCTCGCATCTGCCTGAGGACCGAGCTGCGTCGAAGCGGCTGAGGGTTCGCCCATTTTGAGCTTCGACATATAAGAGATAAGCAGCTTCTTAAACGTCGCAGCAGCTCCTTTCTGAACGTAAGCGCGCGATGATGAAGTGCAAACTTGCCCTGAGTCTACAATATTGACCAACCTCGGTCAGCTCATTGGAAGAGTAGCTCGTTGGAGACAGACCTACTAAGCGTGATAGAGTTAACCGCATCTGCAGCGGCCCAATCCAGATTGGCGTCATCAAAAACAATAAGAGGTGACTTGCCACCGAGCTCAAGCGCAACATTCTTCAGATTCGAACGGGCGGCTGCTTGCATGACGGCTCTTCCAGCTCGGGTTGAACCAGTGAAACTGATTTTACTGTACCATAGAAACCTAACGTCAGCATTACAGTCCTTCACTTATAAGGCAATCAGAAAGCCGAACCCACCGGATCTTCATGTGAGATGAGAGAAGCTCTCCGGTCTCAGCAGCTCCCGAAACAATGTTGACAATGCCGGGAGGGAAACCTGCTTTCGTGGCAAGCTGAGCGAGAAGAATACCCTGCATCGTAGTAGTAATATGAGCAGGTGAGGCTCAAGAGGGCCGAGCAGGGAGTCTCTGACTGACACTAAGGGGAGACTTTTCGGAAGTCTGCACCGATAGGATACAAGAGGTCAGCCAAGTCATAAGGTAATGGTGGACCAAGACGACATATTACCTTCAAAATCATAGCGTTTCCTGCACCACAGGCGGCTGAGATTTCATGAACCCACTGAAGCGCCATGCCCATTAATTAATACTCGATAGCGTGTTTTTTTGCTTGGATTTTAGGTGGGGGGCTTACAAGCAAGGTGGGGAAGTTCCACGCCACAATAGCTGCCACAACTCCGAACGGCTGTCGCAGCGACAAGTCCATATGGTGGGGCGTATTAAGCGAGGTCTGTCCGGAAGCCGTCTCGACGAGGCCAGAGAAGAAATTTGTAATTTTACAGGCTTCCTCAACGTCAGCACGGTGAGTGCCGACAGGTTTACCCATACAGATCGAATCAAGCTGGCAAACATTATGTTGTCAGAATGCACTGGGCTCCAAGAGCAATGGATTCTGCTATACCTCGGCGAGCTTGGACACGTTCTCAGCCATCAAATTGGAGAACTTTCTAAGCACATCTCCTCGGATGTGAGCCGGTAAAGCTGCCCATTGAGGTTGAGCTTTTCCTGCCGCTTCAACCGCTGCATCGACATCTTCTCTGAGCGCGATCGGTATTTTTGCGAGGAACTCGTTGGTAGCCGGGTTCTGCAATATTAACACGACCATTAGCTTGACACCCACCACCAAAAGCAAAAGCAGAGACGAAGAGGGCTAACCAAGAGATCATAAGTCTTGCCTGACTTGGCGTCGACAAGATTTCCATCGATGAAGAGCCGACTTTCGTACTTGGACATCTTGGATATTCTAGAGCACAGGGTAGGAGGTTGTAGAGGACTACGATGCAGGGTGTAGAGCAGATAGAGCTTGATAGAAGAGGAGGTTTTAATTGCCGGCATAAGAAGCTTTTATATGGTGGGGGCTGGACATCGCCCTAGATCGAGTTCCATAATTGATAGGCTCTGCAGGGCACATCAGGTGAAATCGAACTTGTTCCGACGCAAGAGACTTCTCCCGGAACCGGCAGAGTGTTAAAATCCAGCCGCTCCACTCTCTGGCCACATACACCACGACGAGGCCCCGCGACAGAAGTGTCCGGTTGCGGTTTTGCTCAATGGTGCAGCGGATATTTTACTGACAGCTGACGCGCCAGCCTTTTTCGAGCTATTAATCTCGTAGTCTTCTGCCAGAATGAATAGATCGCCACACGTTAACCCGGTAGATTTGAAATCGGGTAGGTAAACTTAACTTCCGCCCCTCTTCTTGACCCTTAAAAATGATATCATTTTCTAGACTTGAAATATCCCTTCTCGGTTTTGCATGCAAAGAAGAATTCTGACTGCACTTCACTTCAAACAACATGGCTCCTGTCAATCTTCTTGCGAATAAGATCGCGCTCATCACTGGAGCTGGCAGCGGTAACTTCTATCTTCATTGTGATACCCTTACGCACGATGCTAACGTGAATATTGGTAGGCTTTGGTGAAGGTGTCGCAAAGCTGTTTGCCGAAGAAGGCGCCAAAGTCCTTCTAGCAGATATCAACGCCACGGGTGGCGAACGGTGAGAATACTCGTCCCGCACTCGATTCTGAAGTTTTAATCTAAGACTAACATTCTGCCGCTCAGTGTCACCGCTGAGATCATTGCTGCCGGGGGTCAAGCTGAGTTTGTCAAAACCAATGTCACGATTGAGACAGATTGGGAAAACGTGCTCGCCGTAGCTAAGGACAAGTTCGGCGGCCTCGACATTCTCGTCAATAATGCTGGTTGGACGTACCGTCTCAAGGATTCTTTGACCGTCACCGAAGCTGAATATGACCGTGAGTGTAGTGATATGGATAGAATGTACACTTTGTTAAGTGCTTACATTACTCTAGGCATTTTCGACATCAATGTTAAAGGCATATTCTATTCGGTCAACGTTATCGTACCGCACTTCCTTGCGCAAGGTAGTGGCAATATTATCAATATTGGATCTTGCATTACTGCTCAGCCCGGTCCTGGTCTTCTCTGGTACGGCGCCACAAAGGGAGCGGTTGATATGATTACACGTTGTCTTGCGGCGGAGTTTTCGGCCAAGGGGATCCGAGTAAACGGCGTTTCGCCTGCAATGGGCGATACGGCTCTAATGGGTGACTTCCTCGGGAAAGATCCGACTGATCAGATCAGGCAGTCGAAGTCAGCCGAGGCACCCTTGAACAGGCTGTGCACTCCTATGGATGTCGCCAAAGCGGCGCTCTACTTTGCCACGCCTTATTTTAACGACTTCCAAACGTACGTTCCACTTGTATTCGTGAAGTTTGGTAGCTTACTAATTCCAATTTGGCGGTCGCAGCGGCATTCTAATTCGTGTGGATGGAGGAAACTACGTAAGTTCTATCCAATTCTTTATGAAAGAGAATACCTACTCACCGGAAGGTGCAGATCTAGAGCAAACTGCGAAATCTCTTTGGATTCAATGGTGACTTAAAAGGCTGGTATTAATGGTACCAGGACGAGAATTTTGATCCAGCAAAGTCCGATGTACTGGTGCCTTGCAGGGTAGAATGCTAGATATGGATTTTCTCTTTTTGGAGCTGGGAAGCTACTACCTTAACTGTTACTAGAAATAGAGATTTTAGGCCAGTTTTACCTCTACCAAGCGTTACATCAATTTTACTATTGATCTCATACCCCTAAATTGTCAGCCACCTTCATACTGAACCAGTTCTCGTCCGTCTGGTCGAGTTACACTGGACTATCAGTGTAGTGTGCCAACCCCGCACTGAACCATCAGTTTGGTGCGAGAGACGTACACCGAACTAATAGTGCAGGCACTAATAGTGTGCACTACAGCGTGCACTAGTACAGTTGTTGGTCCGCGCACTATTAGGAGTTCTGGGTACGGGCTGGGGTGATCGACGACCTGTACCTATTACTTCTTCCCGTTGAGGAGAGTGCTGTTGAAGGCAGTGGCGATGGGACGGACGAAATGATGTGGCTAGGAAATTAGAAGACAAAATGGCGGGAGAGGTAAGTTAGAAATACGTTCGCTCTGTGTAAAATGTCAACTCAATTTGGCCCCCAGTTGATCCACTCCACGGGAAAATCTCCAACTCAACGCAACTGAAACATTCAGTTGATTGAATTGAGTCGTGCGCACCTTTGTGCTTCTCCGCAGGCGCCAGTACCGTATCCGCGCCTGTCGCGGATGGTGATTGATCTTTTCTCAGTGCCAGCCATGTCTTCCAAGCCAGAGCGCATCTTCAGTCTTACAGGGCAGATGATTACTGCTCAGAGAGGCCGCCTCAAAGCTGATCTTATAGGAGCTGCTTAATGTATATCATCTTGGGAAAAAATGGGGTTATCGGTATCCAAAAATCCAACTAAATCCAAGTCCGTACCGACCCAAATCAAATCATCTCAGATCAGAGTCCTCTATTTCCAAATCAACTCAAATCAAAGGCCTAATTTAAGTTGATTTATTTGTTTGCAGGGCTGCCGATGCGCATCTAGTCGATATGGTAATTACCTCCGAAGTCCTCAACCCTTTATTCAATTCTGTTCCGCATTCTGCACGAACTCTGCATGTTCTACATCATGTATCTTCCTCCCAATTACCTCTTGATTTTCCACGCCAGCTAATCGTGTAGCTTCCTTCCAACTTATACCCTTGCCACCCTCATATTTGATGCGGAATAAACGATCGACTTGTTCCAGAGATAGGTTGGCAGTTTCGACGTACCAGCGCCAAATAACTGGAACAAAACTTATGTTGAAGACCGCATAGATGAGATAGTACTTCCACCCAATATTCTCAATGGCAGTTGGTGTAATAACAACAACCACATACACGAATATCCAATTCACCGCCGTTGCGATTGACGTTCCGATGTTACGCATTCGCTGCGAGTTGATCTCCGCCGGGTACATGTATGGGATTGATAGCATAGACATGCCATAAAAGACGTAGTACATAAAAATAAATACTACGGCAAAGATTGACATGCCTTTGTTAGGACTTCCTGGCCCACCGTATCGTAAGCCGACTGCGACAAGAGCGAAGCAGATACCGCTAGCGGCGACGCCACCAAGCATAAGCCTCCGGCGACCGACGCGGTCAATGAGAAAGGCTGTTATCGCGCCCCAGAACATGAGCGAAATAGAATCACAGGCGGAGAGAGCTAACGCCATTCGATCCGTCATGCCGAAAGACCTGACGAGCACAACAGGCAGATAGTAAGCAATTACGTTGACCCCTCCCATCTGCTGGAAAAAAGGTGTCCCCGCTCCAAGAAGGATACGTCGGATAGTCATTTGCTCCCGGCTGCTGAACACTTCTCTTACTGATACAGAATTCTGTACTTCACCTTCATGAAGAACAGTCGCTACGAGATATTGAATCTCGTCCATCACTTCGGTATTATTTGATGGCTTCCCTGCAAGTCGAGCGAGGATTTTTTGTGCCTCCTCCACACGGTCTCGCATCACCAACCACCGCGGTGACTCTGGCGCTACAAGCACCATAGCGATGGCTATGATAGCAAAGAAACACTGGAAGGCAAGAGGAAAGCGCCAGCTGACTGGATGGTTCGGGATGTATGTAAAGCCGTAGTTCATCCACTTAGAAGTGCGCATTAGCTCGCAGTACAATATTTTATTCCTGTGGGGGGAAAGGTTCTGGCATACATTGGTAATGACAATTCCGAAAGTATTTGTAACAAGCTGAAAGACGATCAGTTTGCCCCGATGATGAGCCTTAGCAGTCTCACATTGCCAGATTGGAATGGCAATAGTATTCATACCATTACCAATCCCTGCAACGACACGCCCGACGATCATGGGCGGAAGGGAATATGAAGAAGCCTGCAAAATGCCACCAATAATAAGAATAACACAGCCGACAAGAATGCAACGTCTTCGACCGAGTTTGTCACCGATAAAAATAGACAATAGCGTGCCTATGATACAGCCAATATCGTATGTGGCTACTATCTGTCCCTGTATTGTTGGACTAGGGTAGTTGAATGTCTCGAGGAAATGCCGGTTGCTGAGAAGACCGCCGAACACTCCTTGGTCGTAGCCAAAGAGCAGAAACCCAGAGTAACATGCCGCCGTGATGCTGTATCTTGCGATGTCACCCTGCATGTTGCCAATGAAAGTTATATGTAGCCCGGGTTGCTGGAGTGGGTAATGCTGTGAAGTGGTATCTCTAATGGGTCAGCGACGGCTGGAAGTTAACGGTGAAGTGGATAGATACTAGGGGGGTCTTAAAGTCAACCCTCCGTAGTACTCCACATACCGGGGGAACACTGAGTAGGAAAATGGTCAGTGATTAGGAAACGAACATGGTACTTCTTGAACCTCCTACTTTCTTAGCACATATGAAAATGTGGGAATGTCGGCTAGTATGTGGTCCCATGTATTTTAAGTTTTTCGAATCACTGACCATTGTTTCAGTGTTCCCCCGGTATGTGTGGAGTACTACGGAGGTTTGACTTTAAAACCCCCCTAATATAGCTTACATTAGCATATGCACTAGGAAGAATGCGGGGACGGATGCGGGGAAGAAGCCGGGGTAAGAAGCGGGGGTGAAAAGATAAAGCATGTTTCTTTCACCGGTATAGTCTTCTACCGGTGAGTCTAGTTTTCGCTTATGACTTTCGCGTTAAGCTTACCCGTCCAGCAATTGCGTATGCACGTGTAAATTGCGTGGCAAACTTGCCAGCAATTAACCGAGCATCCACATTCAAACCCGAAATACTTTTACATACTGTACTTACTGTACTTGTAAACGACTATTACCGGTAATACAACAGACGGCTATCCGATACATTGGCAAATCGGTGATCAAATTGCAGCTTCATAACTTAACGGATAATGAATGGATTTTGAGAACCGACAATCGCTTGAGGACCTTGGTTCGCAGACGAAGATGAGGAGGGCTTGCAGCACACGGGTAGAAGGCTTGCTGTTTCCGGAAAAGAGTTCGAGCACCCTCTCTTGTCCACATCAGATAGATATTTGCATTTTTGAAGTTTTCAGTTGCTTGGATAAAAGCTCCCAACGGTTCTAAAAGAAGGGATAAGTTATATCTGTCTGATAATAGCATGTCTCCGACGGTATACATTTCGATCCATTTCGTTGGAGGTTCGTTAGATTTACGAAACATTCTCATAGACTCAACTAACCACTACACTTCTCGTGCCCTGTCAACTCTTGGTTACTATTAAGTCCCTGTCTGAGCATCACAGTCATGATTGCAAAGTCCTCCAAGGTCAAGATTGCGGTTATTGGGGTTGGCCTCATCGGTCCAAGACACTGCAGAACGATAATAACGTCGTCCGACGCCACTCTCACTGCCATTGTCGATCCACTTCGGCAGGGTGCGAAGCTCGCCGAGGAGCTCGGTACGAAGCACTATAAGTCAATTCAAGACCTTTTGATGTCTCCAGAGAAGCCTGACGCCGCCATCGTTTGTACGCCCAATCAGACCCACGTGCCCATCGCGAAGGAGCTCGCAGATGCAGGCATCCATGTACTAGTGGAGAAACCAATCAGCCCAGACGTCGAAAGTGGCAGGGACTTGGTGAACCATACGCAGAAGACTAGGACTCACGTATTAATTGGCCACCATCGTCGGCATAATCCGTATATTGCCGTCGCCAGAAACGCTGTCGCATCTGGCTCACTTGGGGACATTATCGCCGTTAATGGCCTCTGGGCCCTTTTCAAACCGGTGGATTATTTTGAAGCGCCAACGGAATGGCGGAAAGGCAAAAATGGTGGCGTGGTTTTGATAAATTTCATACATGAGATTGACCTACTGCATCATCTCTTTGGCCCAATCGTCCGAGTTCACGCGGAACAAATGAAGCGGATGCGCGGCTATGAAGTCGAAGAAGGAGCTGCCATCACTCTTAAATTTTTATCTGGAACTGTGGGTACTTTTTTGTTCTCAGATAACCTTCCGTCTCCATATTCTTTCGAGGCTGGAACAGGCGAAAACCCTCTCATTCCAAAAGTGGGTGCAAGTTTCTATCACATATTCGGCACCAACGCTTCGTTGAGTATTCCTGATATGACTAGATGGTCATATGATGGGGTCGTAAAATCATGGCATGAGCCTATAACGCAGAGGAGATTGGAAGTTAAGGAGAGCGTACCTTTTGAGTTGCAGCTGGCCCACTTTGTGAGAGTCTGCAGAGGCGAGGAGCAGCCAAGTTGTACTGCTGAGGATGGTTTGGCGGCACTGATTGTTTGTAACGCAGTGAAAAGAGCAATTCAGACAGGCGACACAGTAGACATAGACGAGTTGAAAGGCAGAACCTTCGGATCTTCAATCTGAGGAGTAACTGGCTGGAAAATTATAGTCTCTAACGACATTCACTGAAATATTAAAGTCTCGTATAATGAAGTTTCACATGTGCCTCTGCACAGTTGAATAAGCTGTGAGTCTTGGCTCCATTCGAAATGACAGTCTAAGGTTCTTACGGTGAAGCGCCGGATCCGGGGATCTGCCGGGCTTACACGCAAATGCATTCCTGAACCAACCAAGAATATCTCCACAACCTCAATGCCAAGTTATCCAAAAATTTGATATCCAATGAAAAGATACCGGCAAAATGGTGTCATTCTAAGTCACCGTCATCAAGCCGTCATGGCCGCTTGTTATTTCGCTGTGGCCACCCGAAGGTCCAAAATGCGACCATCATCTGTCGCGTTACACGGTTCCAATTATCTCTATTCGTGATGCCTTGTAGCTTGGTCTTTTTGTCATACAATGAAAATGTTCCTCTTTTTTCATTAGTCTGACCTCCATCTAGGGACGGAGGTTTCTTTGCTTTTCCTCAGCCCTAGGGCTGCCCAAGTCAACATACGGCGGAGTTATTGATAGTTCACGCAATGAACTAGTCAACGTAGCAGCCATATACCCTCCTGGTATTTTTTTTACTTCGGAAGACTGGGCGTGCTTCAGAACTCTTCAATACACCAAAAATTTAATCCTACTGGTTGGATTACATTGCCTGGTCCGGACTTCTGGTGGGACAAATACATTTTGCTCAGCATAATAAAATGATAAAAAGGAGTGGATTCGGGGAAGACGCTTGATTTAAATGGTTTATAAAATGCATGCCTAGGGACTTTGATAAGGTTATCTTTCATCAGACTGAACTAGTTGTCTTTAAAAAGTAATATAAATTGATTACTACATTGATTGCTACATTAACTTTAATTATTTATTGAATTAAAGTAAATGCGTTGCTATCTGCCATCTCATCCGGCCCCTCATTATATATAAGCATATCCATATCTATCCCATCAGGATTTATTTCAGTCTGTACTGAACCAGTTCAATTCCAGGCACCAGTGGGTTTTTTAATAAACCTAACTTTGGTGTTTTTGTGACAGTATATGACTGCGAAGTTGATGCCGGAGTTGTTTATATGCCTCAACATGATTTCGTGTACCGTTATCATAGCTATCCCGCGCATTAATTCTGCCAAATCCTAGCTCGTCAAGTTTTATTTTACACCTGGTCTGTGTTTCAAAAGGTAGATACTCATCAACATCTATATTTTTTAAATATATTAGCAATCGCGTCTTAAAATGTTTAAAATTTATACTCACTATAATCTGCAGTACATTCTTTAATCTCCCCTAGTAGATCAGGATTAGGAGATAAACCATAGTCTTTAATTTCTTCATCTGGCCAGTGATAAAGCTTAACTGGTTGACCAGATACAGAATTTGGGCGTTTTGGTTGGCGGCGAATAGAATGTACATTCCACATACGTACAAACGCATGCACTTGTTTTCGAATAATTGGCATATAAATTGCTATAATAGCAATCCGTCAGAAAGAGAGTAGATCATAAAGACCATTATGGATAAATCCAGAAAATAATCCTATTTATATTAGTTAATTATTAGTATAATAGCTATTATATACTTACCCGCCATCGAAAAGTTCACTTTTGGAAAGCTGGCCCCACCAAGATTCAATCCGTACATTTGCAGTACTAGTTCCATAGCGAAAGCAGCCATTAAAGAGGCGTCGGGTCGATTTTTTGAATAAACTGATGATGAGCTGAGCCACTAATGGTGTCTCAACTCCCCGATCTGCTCGTATAATCTGAGGTAAAACTTTCTGCGTGTAAGAGTATAATATACTGCTGAAGAACACTAATAGCAGTACGATTTGATACTCCAACATAATCCAGTAATATACGAGAATATGCATCAATGCTGCTAAATCTCAATTCCCCAATGTTGTAGTTTGCAGTATCCATCTATAGACCAAATATATTAGGCCAGGCACTATATATTCTCCACGGTGCCGTTGAAGATCATTAAACGCGTGTAACCCTGCTGGATCAAGCCGTCGTATGAATGCAAAAAGACGGTCTCTAATAAAATAAGTATAATATAAATAATTAATGTAGTAATCAGTTTAACATACCGGGAAACAAGATGCATTTGTGTACGGAAGTATGTATAAAGTGACCACGGCCATATCCCTCAATTGTACCTTTATCCAATTCCTCTTGGACTATTTTATCAAGATTTGATCAGCCTCTTTTGATTTCGATAATCCACCTTCTATAATCCCATTTTTCGCGAATTCGAAAAGCTGCCATGATGTAATTGATAGCCTTCCTTTTGAAGAACCTCCAATATTTTTTATCTGACAAGCAACAGTTATAAATAATATTGCAATTCGAGCCCGAAGATGTGCTATATCAGCTCTGGTATTCTAGAACGGATTGTGATTTCCCAGTCTAAAAACGCCGGCGGATTGTCTTTGTTTCAACTGAAATATTATATGTATTTAAAGATTAGAAATCTTTGCTCGAAACTCCGTCTAACTTTCCAATAATAATATCCTTTAAGGATCAAGATTAATTGAGGGACGTCCAGCCATATGTAAGGTAGTCACTTAAAACTAAATATTTGTGACGACCTTGTTGTCATGGCTCAGTCACCAGACTTTTCAGCCCCAACCCTATGTTGACACGTGATCACACACCTTCTTCAACCCGACCACCACCTCTACACGTAGTTCTTCCCTTACGTTAGTTGTTTCGAATATGAGTCGCCCTACGTTCTGAATAGATCTTGTTTCATTCTTTCTAGGTTAGGACCGTGTCACTTGTCACTGTTGGAACATCGGGATATCCCTCTGCTCCGGATGCCGGTCTGCACTGCCTTAGTCAGCATCTGTTATGTATTTAGCCTCGTTCGTGGGTGCCTCCGTACCCCTGAATCCCAGACTCCTTCATGCTTCCAACAGTCACCTTGGGTCATGTGATCTGCTGGTTTCCCCGCAACTGATGTTGTCATTCAGATTCATCCCTTCTTCCTCTCCTCTCCATGTTTGATATTCTCGTCGAAGAGCTACCTAGTTAGCGGGAATGGATTCATTTGTTATATGAAGATCTCCTGGCCTAGACTGAGCCGTGACAATATTTTTAATATACTTTTTAAAGTATATAATATATCTCATATTTTTTGTGTGCAAGGCTAAAGCTAATTAAGAGTATATTACCGAATCCTAATAATGCTTAGTCATTATCGAACTATTCCAAGTAAGTCAATGTAGTAATTAATACCCGTCACCTCTGACCCACACCGCCTTCAGGGTCAGAGTTGACGGGTATTATAATCAATAAGATAGGGCTATACTCATTAAAATAGACTAGTGGACAAAATATATTTCGCGTATTTTCCCACATATATAAATAAATATATTACACTACCTAATAATTTTGCCTTCTAGTATTATTTACCTACTCTTTTAATCAAGAACATTTTTTAATATGTCTTGGACGCGATATTTGTAAAGGGCTAGAGCCCGTTTGACCTCTCGAGAAGTCGGGCCAATGTGTCACGGCTCAGTCTAGGCCAGGAGATCTTCATATAACAAATGAATCTATTCCCGCTAACTAGGCAGCTCTTCGACGAGAATATCAAACATGGAGAGGAAGAAGAGATAAATCTGAATGACAACATCAGTTGCGGGGAAACCAGCAGATCACATGACCCAAGGTGACAAGGTCGTCACACCTGAGCTCCCACTCTTGATGGATAATGAGGTATGTGATTAGTTAGTAACTGGTTATATACTAGTAGCTAACTAGTATTAGCCTGATCATGATGCTATTCGTCGTTATGCTCGCTTGCATCATGGAAAGCGTTCCCCATGTGGTGTCTGCCGAAAGAGAAACAGTGGGCTTGGAATTAGTATGTTATAAATACAGGTTTAATACTAGTAGCTAACTAGTTTAGAATGTGGCCAACGCCCCTACTGTGAACACTGGAACTTGTTCAAGGTCACCTCATCTATTAACGGTAAGGGCGTTGACCAGTCTGGTACCAGTAGCAAACCAGTTCCTGACCAGTCACACAATGCTGAAAGTGACGATGGTGAGGAGGGTGCTGCAGGTGATACTGAATGTCATGGCGACAAAGAGTCTGAGGGCCCTGATGATGCAGATGCAGATGCAGGTAGACTGCGGCAAAACCATGGACAACCGCGGATAACCAAAACCGCAACCGCAAATTTGCGGTTTTGGGGCTGATTTAAAACCGCAAACCGCACTGTGGGCGGTTGTGGTTTTCACTTTGGAAAACCGCGGTTTTGCGGTTATCCATGGATATGTAAACATTACAAACATGCTGAAACTTGTGACTTTCCAGTGAATGCATAAATTGTGCACTTTTCGCAGTATTTTTGGAGTATCTAGTATGTAATAGATTACTTATATCTCTTAATTTGAAACCTTTAGAATACACTTTTAGACCAAATTCGATTTCTATTCTAAGTCTCTAATATTACAGCTTATCAATCTCAAATCCCTCAGGTAGCTTAGGCCTCTTCCGAACCCTCCCTGACCGCGCCTGCGTCTTCTCAATTGGCATATCAGGAAGTGGGAGACCATTATCAGCATCATCTATAGCCTCAGAGGTGTTACTTCGGCACCGCTTCCGTTGTACCTGCTTAGTTTGAGCTACAGGCTGCGTGGTAGATAACCCTTCTTCTGCCTTGTTATCAGATTCGTCTGTATTATCCTCAGATAAATCCTCTGCTTCGCAACCCTCTTCTTTATTATCACTAATTGGTTTGAGTTTATTAAGCAATGGAACAGGCTGTCTTGTCTAATCAAGCATAGCAGCCTCTCCGACAGAGAAATACTCTTTAATCATCTCTAGCTCGCTTTGTTCAAGATTAAACTTAGATGAGAAGAGATGGAGTATTAGATCTTTAATTGTGCCTGGCTTTTAACTGTCCCCGACGATAGTGACAGATATCACGAGTATAATTAAAAAGCCGCTTAACACCAGCACCACTCGCAGGAACTGAGAGGATATCTCGTGCAATCTTTGCAAGGACTGGATACTCGTGCTCATGCTCCTTCCAGAAGAGCCGGGGATTACCTTTTGTAAGCCCTATAAAATTAATTAACTTTAGAATAGTATAGAAATAGAGAATATTTACCTTTTACTAAATATTGTGTTATTTTATCCTCCGGTTAATCTACTTTAGCTTGTAGAGCTGTCTGTGATTTATATAATAGCTCAAGCTTATTTTCAGCAGGATCAAAGATTGCTTGGTTATTAACTGGTTCTGTTTCCTGGATAACCTGCTGCTGATATCGCTTAAACTCCTTCTGTAAAACCTCCTGGTAATGCTTTATAAAATCGACTTCCTTTTCTTTCTTATTTTTTCCTCTCCAATCTGTATTATCAAAGTATCAAAGCTTTTTAATAAACAGAGAATTATTGCAATTGCATAGACTATGCCATATAACTTATTGTCTGTTTCAGTGTAGTATTTTAAGAGCTTTTTTTTTTACTAACTAAAGTGCCTGAAGCATTCTCCTTTTTATAGGACAGCTTTACGTTTCAGTTTCTTCTTAATGTCATCAAGATAATTAAATAGCCGATTGTAGATACTGAAGACATGGTAAACTATAATATTTCTGGTTTTAATAATACACTAGTAAAATCAAAGAAAGGCTTAGTAATTAAAAGCAAATATTCAACTTGGCGCTATTCCTCTTTATCTAGCTTAAATTAAATATGTTGATATGTTATACAATACTGATTAAAAACTAATTATAATTTCCTGGCACGATTAAGTATTAGAAAGGTAGAATTCCAGCGCGTGCGAACATCTTGGATCGGAATAAGCTTAGGCTTAGTAGTTTAAAGGGTAAAAAAAAGCTTCCCTGCGCTGTGGACTAGCATTGATAAAGACAGCGAGCTCTCGAATCTAAGGATATTAGTATAAGTATAAAGAGAGCGCGAAGATATACTTACCTTTTTAAGGTTTCTATAATATTCCTTGTAGGCTGCCAAGAGCTAGTTTGTAGTAACTGTGTACGTGTATCAGACCACTTAGTCTCTGCTTCCTTATTTATTGGATTTGCTTTTATCTTTCCAAGTAGATCCTTTAGGCTAAGCTGGATAACATGCGCAATACATGGAATTCGGAAAACAGAAGTCCCACTTAGAGCTTGCAATTAAATCATCTCTTGGATACCTACTATTATAGTGTTGTTATTTGACATATTATCTGTAGTAATTAATAATACACGATTATCAATATTATGTTCCATAAGTATTTGAATCACAGTCTGACTTAAGTGAGCACCGGTATGCGATCCTTGGAGATGCTTAAAACCAAGAAGGACCTCGCAGTAATTCCATTCTTGATCAAGAAAATATCCAGTAATTGCCATAAATGCCTGGGAAAAGGGAGATGTCCAGCAGTTAAGTGGAACTAAGAGATAGCTTTCTTTTAGAAGTTTGCTAAGCATATTTTGTTGCCTTTCCTGGACAGTGTTGTTTAAAAGTCGTTGGATAGTCCACGCAGAAGGAATATCAAGCCTTGATTCAGAGAGTTGGGCAGCTTCGAGAAGGTCTTTAAACTCTGGGTGTTCAACAATACGAAATGGGAGACGGGTGGTGGTAATAAAGTTAAGAATTCTTCGCTGGAAAAGATTATTAGTAAAGACCTTCTTTGTTAGTGCACGCGGCTAGATAATACTATTATTAGTGATCTCTCTCTATATCTTTAAAACAATATTTAAAACATACTAAATCACGTATTAACTGGTTAATCCCTTGCCTTTTTTTTTTCTAAGCGACATGTACCGCTGTTTAGATGTGCTTTAAGTACAAAGGTTCCTGTATACTTATAACCTGGATAAGTAAGGGTTGCAAAACACTGCTTACACATAACCTTGGGCTCGCCAGTCTTCTCGTGTGCAACCTGTTCAAAATGCTCCCAAAGTACTGATGTTTTTTTCCCATTCCAATATAAGCTATCTCGGCATTAAGAGTTTAATCCAAACATAGTTGTTAACCACTATTCCACAAATTGTTTCCGGGAGTTGTCCATCTCAGGTTTAGTAGCATAGAGAATCCAGAATTTTTAAAGTGTAGATCCGACACACTTAAGTAACTTCGGCGTATAAGAAAATCGCGGAGGGGAGTAAAAGGAATAGAAGTCACAGTTAGTTAACTGCTTGGTAAATTAGGAAGGTTATCTGATTGAAGAAGATCGGGATTGATAAAGGAATCAGAATAAAAGGATACTTGGGACTGAGACATTGTCGTAAGTTCCTAAAGATTAGAAACTAGAAATAATAAAGAGACATCAGGAGAAGAGAAAGGGAGAGGGACTTACAGGAATTCCCCCTATTATTTAGGAGATAAACAGGTTGCAACTACAAGTTTGACCTGTACAAAACTATACTCTATGTTAATTGGGTGACTAGCGATAGTAGTGCGGTTTTAATAACCGCAATAGAAAAAAAACACACCAAATTCAAGCAATTTGAAATAGAAACCTGGTTTCTCCTGAATTTTTAAGTAAATATACTAATTTAAAGTAAAATATAAGTATAATAGGCTCTTCTTATTCTTAGTAATAATTTTATCTATAATAGCCTGATTTAGTCAACCTACGAAATACTTATAAAGTTCTATCTAGAGAGTGTACTAACTTCTATTTGTATAAAATATATATTTTTACAACAACATCCTAAATTCCTTAGTAATCTTAAAATCTCAGACAAACACCACTTACTAGCTACGCAAAATAAGAGGTGATATATCAATATTCGGCTTGTTATTTAAGAAAAAGGATTAAAGTAAGCGATAGGGTGGATATTTATATATACTACAATGCTTTATCACCCTCCCACAACCAAATATAAAAAGATAAAATAAGCAAGAAACTACACAAACTAATATTACAAACTAATGCTACAATAACTCATGCGTTACAAGGAAGCAATATTACTATCTAACTTTAGTGAATAGTGATGCTAGGATCGGGCCAGGACCTCACGGCAATGATATAATACCCAAGACTATCTTGGTTACTTATAATATACTAATGGTCTAGTGGTAACGCATTAGATCTAGTAATCTAGAGGTACTGGGTTCGATTCCTAGTAGGTGCTTGAATCGATGTTAGACCATTTGTACTGCAGCTGGCTAATATCAACTCGTCCAGTGCCTAATCCTATGGAGGACCTCTAGATATTTTTATTGTTTTACATGCTTTTATTTAACTTTTAGAGTAAGCAAACATACTTTAACAGGGGCGAAATGCCTTGCTATTTAATAACTAGATATACACAAAGAGGAATCGTTAAGATAATAAAAGTAAAGGGAAAGAAGCATGTATTCTTATACTACAAGAGGTCATATAACTGCAATAAGCGGACCAATCACGTGCGCCAATTGCAGCGAAGGTAAATAGGAATAATATACAGGCATGGCCTGCAACACATTCCTTGTCTTCAAGTTTTTGTAATAGCTTATTATCGTACACTCCCGGGAGCATATTGCCTGGGTACACGTATATAAAACGTTAGAGGAGCTACAACCAATAGGGGCAATAGGGACAGTTGGGACAATAAGGACAATTGGCCTGAGAGGTTAACCAGGCTCACTGTATTAACCAGAACAGGTGTATTTTCAAATTAAAAACAAGAGTATGTAAGCCGCATAAGTGTTACCTAATATGCTAGAATTGGTTAAAAAGCGAGAGTTATGCTAGTGCGGTTTTCTCACGGTTATCCATGGGTAACCGTGGTTAAACCACAAATCTGCGGTTGTGGTTGCGGTTTTCAAAGTGATATCCAAAACCGCAAATCTGCGGTTGTGGTTTTGACTATGATACCCAAAACCGCGGTTTTGCCGCAGTCTAGATGCAGGGGATGAGTAAGGGCTATTAGTTTCTAACTAGTTACTAACCAGTCAGCCACTTTATAAGCACTAATGTTGCAATTTGCCTGCTTGGGAACTGGCTGCAAGCTAGTTGGTTTATTCAGAAATAAGTTAAATACGTGGATTTTAATAGCTACTGCCAAATAGCTAGCTGAAAGCTAGTTGTTGTTATTTAGAATATTAAAACCTTCGAGGTTATATAGTATACTTAAAATAATAACAAGCATATTATAAAATATATATCATAAGAATTTTCCCACTAGTTATAAACCAGTAAATAACTAGTTCTATACCAGCCACCCACTCCCTGATGTGATTATATTTATATATAGTTAATATACACGGTAATTAATAATACTCTATATAAATTTTTATTCCTCTAATTAAAAGACCATATTTGTTAGATATTCGGAAATTGACTAGATGGGCCCCTGACTAGTTCAATATCTGTAGGAGATGTAGCCTGTGCCTGGTTCACTTGTGGCTGACTCATAATAGCCTGTGTAGAGACCTGAAGAGGTGATAATACAGGTTCAGTACTAGTATATAACTGGTTAGGGACCAGTCCTATACTAGTAGGCCCTTGGTTTAGCAGGACACTTGGGTCTAGCCTCCCCTTTGCCACTAGGCTTGTCAATAACTGATACCGCTCTAGCTGGGCTCGTTGCTGTAGCAAAAGTAAATCTGCTTGTTGTTGCTGACGAGATATTTCGGCACTATTAAGCATTGCTCGCTGATGAAGAGATGAAGAAGTACTAGTACTACTATAAGGACTAAAACTAGTTAGTAACTGGTAAATAACTAGTATTGTACTAGTACCTTGAATTTCTTGATTGCCTGTTTCGGGGCTGTTGTCTGCGCCCTCGTCCACGTGGTGATCTTCTGCCTTGAGAGCTCGAATAATTTTCTGGACGAGGAGACCCTGAAGATGAGACTCTTTGAGATTGTGATAGTTCGTTAGCAGTCTCAATAGTCTCATTTGCACGTTCTGTAGGGTGCTGCTGTCTTTGATGAGATTGTGATCTCTCCCGCTCACGTTTACGCTCTAATAGTATACTAATAAGTAACTAGTATATAATTAATTAATGACCGGTATTTACTTACGACCTCTTCTTAAACTCTCTGCGAATAGGTCGGACCCACTTCGCTTAGAATAAGAATGCCGAATTCTATAGAGATCTCGAGTATCATATTGTGCCATGTCTCGCTTATCAAGGTGATAGCCACTATATACTAGTTAGGTACCAGTTAGGTACTAATATAAAACTAGTAGTTACTTACGTTTGTACCGCCTTCACAATACTTAAAGCTCTTCCCATTGCTAGCCCCTTCTCATGAGTTTGCTCTGCTGCATTAGTATGAGCTGTAGCTTCATCAAAGTCTTCAGAATCCATGCGAGAGCGGGATTTATTAAGTCCTGCAGCTATAACTGGGTCAGCTTTATGAAGAGCCCAACCCTCGTGTTTTGATTCAGGATCAGCAGTATCTGTGAACTAGTTAATAACTAGTAAAGTACTAGTAGGGAACTAATACTTACGTAGTAGATGCTGGACCAGCTCAATATAATCCTCCTCACTCTTACAGTCTAGTAAAGCCATCATTCGCTTGAAAAGCTCTGTATGCTGTTGACATTTTCCAACAACCTCTTCAACTCCACGTAGAAAGTGAATACGACAGAAGATCATAACATGCTTAACATGCCACTGCCAATCTTCATTACCATTAGAAAGGGTTTGCAGAAAATAGCCAAGTCCTAGAAAGGTACTAGTTAGTAACTAGTTAATAACTGGATTTAAACTAATACTTACCTTCCATTTGTCCTCTGTCCATATCAGCAATAATACTCCGAATTCCTGAGCCATGAAGATATTTAAATCTTAAAGGCTGTCCTGTTACCTGTTCAAGAAGCTGAGATACTTTAGTAAATATTATTTGATACCCTTCAGCATCTTGACGATTGATAAAACACGAAGTAAAGTAATAACTAGATTTAACTGGTTAGTACTAGTTATTTACTAGTAATATACTAGTTATGTACTAGTAGTAGGGTACCTTACTCTTTCCATGATCTCGTGACATGATCGCAAATACAACCTCTTTAAGGTTATTTGAACGTAGTCGCTTCCATCCCATATCTATCTCAAATGAAGAGACAGATTGAAGAAGATGGAGTTGTGAGTCCAGGGCACATATTATTATAATAGTATCCCCATCTTGAAAGACCTCTCGAACATAGTCCTAATTAGTTAGCAACTGGTTCCAAACTAGTTTTATACTGATAATATACTTTTATTTCTGGCCTTCGGTTTCTCATCCACTGTAAGCCCATAAGGCCCTGTCCTTCTGGGTATAGAATAAGCTTTGCTTTTTGAATAATAAGAGCAAAGCGATCCATATTCACAAAGCTTTGATGAAGATCAGTAATATGATTAACATCATATCTCTGGCATAGAGCTTGGAGCTCTGGACTGCGCAGAAATGAAGCTAGAAATTAGTTAGTTACTAGTTAGAAACTAGTTGTATACTAGTAAGTAATAGAGTATACTTACACAGTGTTAGGTCTGGATTTTGCAGACTTTGGATCAATTCTCTAATATCTGCAATAAGCTCTGGTGGTGCTTTTATTGGTGGTGGAGGAGGATGCTCATGCTTTCCATGTGATGTTAGGAGTATATAAGGGCATTCATGGAGATTCTTTGGAACAATAAGATTAAACACCACTTTACAACCCAAATGGATAAGCTTTTGAGGTCCGGATGGGTGATCAAAACCTGTTGTACTAGTAAGTAAGTAGTATAATACTAGTAGTATACTAATAGCTACTTACCACAATTATCTTTTCGTGTTATATTTGCATCCATTACTCCACACTCCTCAATATTATTATGGACACGCTGGTTAATCAGACTGACTAGTAGACCAATATCTGTATTATTAGAAAATTCAAGATTTTTGATCATATGGTCATCTACGTTAGGCCCGGATTGACGATTAATACAAGCAAGAACACGTGAACGTGTTCCTGAGGGAGGTTGATACTGGTTAAAACCAGTTAGAAACCAGTGTAAAACTATTATTAAAAGACTTACCTGCTCAGACATAGTGATAACTACTGGTCGACAGGTTGAATTCTGTTGGCGGCATATAGTTCCACGACGAAATGCTTTTAAAATACCATAGTACTTCCTAATATATATTAGTACAGTATCCTGTTAAAAAGTCAACTGGTAGAAAACTAATATATAACTAGTATATAACCGGTACTATACCTATATACCTGTTTCCTTTTTTTATTCCCCCCTATTAGTTTAACACTTCTTCGGAGTGCTTGTAGTGTAGACCATAGCTTATTATCTACCTTGTAGTGATAAAACTCTTTGATTCTTGATGGAAGATAGGGACAGATCTGTAATCCACGGCAAAAATACTTTGCTCGCCAGGCCCTAACACCAAGAAAAGGACATGTTATCTCTATATTACGGTAATACTGCTTTGTTGCATACTAAACCTAGTATATTAGTTAGCTACTAGTAGTATACTAGTTCCTTACCAGTACTACCTTTTGAAAAGTCTGTACTGGAGCATTCTTCAATTTTTGAGGATCTACAGGGATAATATATGTATATCCCTGCTTATTGCTTTGAGGATATTCTGGTACATCAAGTGCATACTCCATTTTATAACTAATCAGTGGTGTCTGATGTCCATTTGTAAGATAGCGTGGAAAATCTCCCTTAGTACTAGTTAGTAACTGGTATATAACTAGTACCATACTGATAGTGTACCTACCGATGCAATTTCATTTGCTAGATCTTCAAGTGTTGACTCTAGTGGGGCATCCTCTTGCTGGGGACTTCAGTTGAGAGTCCATCCTGTAGATTCAAGACAAGCTCCATGGTGATTAGTCAAATACTGGTATAAAACTGGTTACCAAGATTCAAAAATGTTTTGAAAGATGGTAAGAGGAATGAAAGAGAAAAGAGCCACTAAACCCAAAAAATATTTCCCTCATAGGTGGGTCCTCACATGACCTCTAAAAATGGTTTAGCTTCCCAGCGGCTTGGCAGACCCACCTTCATCCCGTCTGCTCCCTGACTAATACACGATATCTTCAATACTCACTGATAATAATTCCACACTCGAATATAGTCTACCTCCAGCTGTACACCCTCACCACCAACAGTGGTCGCGTTGGGCTGACCTGGCCAATCTCCACCTACTGCCACATTAAGCAGTAGGAAATGGCCTTTGTGTGCAATATTTTCCCAGGTCGCCGAGCTGTTTATCCTAGCCGCTGGAATCCGAAAAACCTGCTGCCCATCAAGATACCACTTCAACTGCTCCCGATACCACACTCCTGCACTTCGATCAACCTCAAATCCAACAGTATGCCATTGGCCACCAGTCCATCCCACTCCACCATTTCCAAGTCCGGTATATTCATTGCATGGCCCACCAGGCGCAACCCCACAATGAAGTGCATTGTATACCTTTGGTAAGCCATTGACCACTTCCATAAGGTCCCATCCTGAAGCGGCGGGCCAGGCGGTATGATTGGAGCGGAAATCAGCCCCAAGTGCCCAGAATGCAGGCCAGATCCCCTGTTGCTTGTACGTAGGAGCCGAGCCGGTCTTCAAACGGCCCTCGATGTAAAGTCGGCCACCAGGTGTAGCAGCGAAATCGGTGCGTTGGGTCTCAATGCGCGAAGATGTCCAGGTACGGTTGGATGATATGCGTGGAGTGATGGTCAGGGTATCATCTCGAGTCACGCGGATATTGGCTGGCGACGTTGTGTATGTCTCGACTTCATGATTTCCCCAATTCGGTGCACCGCCAGGATAGGAGGTTCCGACGTCGAAAATCCAGTTCTCAGATGATGGTAGATAATGACCCGGTCTGTGCTTGAATTCTTCATGCCATGTTAACTGATAACTATCAAGAACCGAGTGAGGAATCGAAAGTTTTGGTAACACAGAATTGTGCTCCCCTCCGTCATAGCGGCTGTTAAGGCGGTGATGGCGGGCCTCTTTTGCTGCTTCTGCAGAACCCAGAAATAAACACAGGAACGTAATGAATGACTGCATGCTGAGGAGTGCTGCAGAAAAATGTGAGAAGAAATAAAAAGGATAGGGGTGACGAAAAAATAACAGACAATAATGAAGAAAAGGCTAAGGACACACCTCAGCCTGTATTCTTCCCGCTTATATAGTTATCATCAGAACTTGTAAAGTTTAATTCAGATTTATTAACACGGCTCCTGTTTTGTCGCTAATGCCCCTGACACTAGGCTAAATCGGTCGATAATTGTCCCCTTCTCGGAAAACCTTAATTGTATCTTCGAAGGTCCTCACACCATTACTCTCGGCTGTTTCAAAGATCCAGACCTGCAACGGATCAACAGTCCTTGTCTATTCAAAACCAGAATGTGAGGAATGATTCGCGTGACAGAGTTATTACTGTAATGTGAATGTCTTTAAAGAATCATTCAATTGTCTGTTCGTAATGTAGTGGAGGAGGGAAATACATAGCCCACCACAGCAATCCGGTTGTGATGATCCTATACACCTTGGTATAATGGATGGATTTCATCTAAGGTGGCGAACTAACGAAACATCAAACGTAGAGAAGGAAGGAAGTAAGGAAGGAAGGAAGAATTCTATCGTACAGGAAATGTGGGAAATCTCTACATTGTGGGACCAACAGTGAATAAAGCAGACTTGGTGCCTCAGGCAGGGTTCCACCTAGGCCCTGACACCGGTGTTCAATCGGCCGACTATTTATAAATTTCTGAATCACCATACAGCTATTTATAAACAGTCCGACTACTATTAGACCGTATTTAAATCACTATTAGCAGTATATAACTATTTTGTATTACTTATGGTAGCATATTATTTAATATTGTATAAGTACTAAGATGAAGTCTGTATTAAAACTAGAAATAGCTTCAGCAAATTAAGATTCCGAAATTGCACTACTCCAGATGCTACTGTGGTATGTATGGTATTGACTACTAGATGGCATGGTATATATTTCAGACCCAGTCGTGCCCATTAGGAGGCTTATACTTGTATCCCTGGGAGGCCGGGAGATGCAGAAACTAAGTAGCAGCACCTAAAAATATCTGAGACAGGTAACATATAGCCCGTTTATTGGTGGCCTCACGCAGTCAAGAGGGACAGTGTTTGTATGGCTTGGCCGCAACAAGTCACCTGTCGCTGCGGTCTCACGAGTAACATGTTAGAGAGTAGCGTTAAAGAGGGCCCTTCCGCGCTCCCCTATAGGGAGGTAAAATGTCTGTATACTTGAGATACCATATTCCTGGTGAATATGCGTGCGTAAATATAACTAGCACTGACATCTATAGCCAGATTTCATGTGATGAACTGAAGGACCAGGATCTTGCTTTCCCTGGTACTTTCGCCGAACATAAAGCGGTGTTAGCCAGCTTTACAGAGCAGTGCAACATAATAACAAAAATTGTCCTGCACAGCCTCTCCAACAGTCTAGGCCTGCAGGACGAAGACCGACGAGAAATAGTAAATCCGGATGCAAAACTGAGTCTCTCAGGTATGAAACTTATATCAGCCCCCACAAGTGCTTGCCTTGGGAACGCTCCTGATACCACCCGTACGGATAGCAGCCTACTTACACTTTTGTGGTGTCCACAATGGTCCAGTCAGTTTCAAGTCCCATGGACCAATGCGTGGGGCTGGGTCAAACCTAAGGAAGGGCACCTTCTGGTGAATGTTGCGGATGTATTGCAACACCACACAGGAGGAAGGCTTCATTCTTACTTGCATTATGTAACTTAGCTAGGCGACGGTATTGAGAGTCGACTCTTTGTTAGTTACTACCTAAGACCAGTTTCCTTATAATGCTAGTACGTACATAGATAGGGCTTGACACGAACAACTACTGGTTACATTACTGGATAATTAAGAAGCTTGGGTTTCATTTATGTACAGCCAAAGTGTTTCAAGGTGTTATACATGAATTGCAAGACGGCATGTTACAGCATAATTTTTTTTTTTCTTTTTTGTTTTTTAACTCATTCTTACCGTCCCGGCCGCCTGGTAGGCAGGGAACATGCGGCATGTGTCTGTCGGGCCCCTGCCTAGTACAAGGGCATCTATCTATCCGTTTTCTATCTGTTGTAAATCGAGGCCCGATCAAGTAAACTATAGAGCTTTACATGCGGAATAAATTCCGTACGGAATCAAAACAATTAGAAATTAATCTGATGTTGATGTTGTATACAAACCCTCAAGTTTACGATAAGAATATAAGAACAACTGAATGTTGTCAAGGGCTGAACCCGTAGAACCTACAGATAGGTTATGTACAAGAAGGAATCGTTGAAGGAGGGAAGAAAGGAAGAGGAAAATGAGCGGTAAACAAACAAGATGGGGAGTCACGTGACAGGGATCGAGGGCCAATGGCCCAAAGGGCCAACAGGGCCAAAAGGGACAGTAGGGACAGTAGGGACAGTAGGGACAGTAGGGACAGTAGGGACAGTAGGGACAGTAGGGACAGTAGGGACAGTAGGGACAGTAGGGACAATAGGGACAATAGGGACAATAGGGACAACAGGGGACAATAGGGACAACAGGGGTAATAGGGACATTGGCCCGAGAGGTCAAACGGGCTCTAGCCCTTTACAAATGTTTCTCAAACCTTAACAGGTTATAAGCCCGGGAGCAAAAATACTTCTCGGAATCTCGGGTAATATTTCCAGTTGCTCAGAGTCTTTGAATATATCTATATACATCTCTTAAAAAAAAAAAAACTCCTGGAAAGGACCCACCAGTTACATGTATATAAGTAAAAAGGACAAAAACTTATTTAAACTTAAGATATATGCAGATATTTGCCAAGCTCTATTCCAGCTTTTCCCGCTATCGCCTGAGAGATGCCCAGACTACAATAACCTATAAGGGATCAAATGTAGAATATACTGATTGATATTAGAAAGAAAAACAAGCACTGAAGAGAGGAAGGAGGGAATCCTTCAGGAGTCAACTACGTCCATGTATTATGTATATGCGTGTGGGGCCGTGACATAACTACCATATCGACCCTACACTAAAATTGTGGAGTTCATACTATGTGGGACAGAAAGACATCCTAGCAGAGAAAGAATCCAATCCCAAGATTGCTGTAAATATCTGGAACGTTTGGCAGAGATGAATTCTTGGTATGGTTACTCACGATTTAAGTGGTTGGATCATAGGCCAGGCTCTAGGACTGGTGATAATATAAAAATAGTCGTATTCTATTTGACCAATTGTATTTATAATATAATAAATACTATACACAAGTTGTTAGGGCAGCCTGAGTGCGGGGGGCTAAAAACGCTTCTTTTGTGTGGGGCTCCTAGAAACAATTCCCGAAGCTGTTTAAGAAGAGGAAGGGGTGAAGTGGATCCTAGTAAGAAGAGCTCTACCCAGAAACCTAAAGTCTAATATATTACGGTAATGAATATGAAATTCTTTAGCATGAAGATTTATAATACTTGTATATATTACCGTATTTACTTTCCTTGGCGGGATTTGGGTCGGGTTTAGACTGCGGCAAAACCGCGGTTTTGGGTATCATAGTCAAAACCACAACCGCAGATTTGCGGTTTTGGATATCACTTTGAAAACCGCAACCACAACCGCAGATTTGTGGTTTAACCACGGTTACCCATGGATAACCGTGAGAAAACCGCACTAGCATAACTCTCGCTTTTTTAACCAATTCTAGCATATTAGGTAACACTTATGCGGCTTACATACTCTTGTTTTTAATTTGAAAATACACCTGTTCTGGTTAATACAGTGAGCCTGGTTAACCTCTCAGGCCAATTGTCCTTATTGTCCCAACTGTCCCTATTGCCCCTATTGGTTGTAGCTCCTCTAACGTTTTATATACGTGTACCCAGGCAATATGCTCCCGGGAGTGTACGATAATAAGCTATTACAAAAACTTGAAGACAAGGAATGTGTTGCAGGCCATGCCTGTATATTATTCCTATTTACCTTCGCTGCAATTGGCGCACGTGATTGGTCCGCTTATTGCAGTTATATGACCTCTTGTAGTATAAGAATACATGCTTCTTTCCCTTTACTTTTATTATCTTAACGATTCCTCTTTGTGTATATCTAGTTATTAAATAGCAAGGCATTTCGCCCCTGTTAAAGTATGTTTGCTTACTCTAAAAGTTAAATAAAAAGCATGTAAAACAATAAAAATATCTAGAGGTCCTCCATAGGATTAGGCACTGGACGAGTTGATATTAGCCAGCTGCAGTACAAATGGTCTAACATCGATTCAAGCACCTACTAGGAATCGAACCCAGTACCTCTAGATTACTAGATCTAATGCGTTACCACTAGACCATTAGTATATTATAAGTAACCAAGATAGTCTTGGGTATTATATCATTGCCGTGAGGTCCTGGCCCGATCCTAGCATCACTATTCACTAAAGTTAGATAGTAATATTGCTTCCTTGTAACGCATGAGTTATTGTAGCATTAGTTTGTAATATTAGTTTGTGTAGTTTCTTGCTTATTTTATCTTTTATATTTGGTTGTGGGAGGGTGATAAAGCATTGTAGTATATATAAATATCCACCCTATCGCTTACTTTAATCCTTTTTCTTAAATAACAAGCCGAATATTGATATATCACCTCTTATTTTGCGTAGCTAGTAAGTGGTGTTTGTCTGAGATTTTAAGATTACTAAGGAATTTAGGATGTTGTTGTAAAAATATATATTTTATACAAATAGAAGTTAGTACACTCTCTAAATAAACTTTATAAGATTTCGTAGGTTAACTAAATCAGGCTATTATAGATTAAAATTATTACTGAAGAATAGAGAAGAGCCTATTATATTTATATTTTTTACTAAATTTAGTATATTTACTTAAAAATTCAGGAGAAACCAGGTTTCTATTTCAAATTGCTTGAATTTGGTGTTTTTTTTTATTGCGGTTATTAAAACCGCACTACTATCGCTAGTCACCCAATTAACATAGAGTATAGTTTTGTACAGGTCAAACTTGTAGTTGCAACCTGTTTATCTCCTAAATAAT